TACTTCTCAAGCAGACGGTGACGGAAAGCATCAAAACTTTTTGCAAGGAACAATGTACCAAATAAAAAGATATATCTCTTTTCAAAGAATCGACTTCGGGTGTGGGTGGGTGCGGGTATGGGGTGTGTGGGGATGTGGGTGGGTGTGTGTGGGGTGTGGGTGGGGGTGGGTGCGAGTGAGTGGGTGTGGTGTGGGTGTGGGTGTGGGTGTGTGGGTGTGTGGGTGTGGGTGTGGGTGTGGGTGGCTGTGTGGGTTGGTGTGGGTGTGTGGGTGTTTGAGAAGAGGAGTAGTTCACCCATACGCACACCCACACCCACACCCACAGCCGCACCTCACCCCCACCCACACCCCACACCCCACCCACACCAACACCCCACCCACACGCCACACCCGCACCCCACATCCACACCCCACATCCACACCCCACATCCACACCCCACACCCACACCCACACCCACACCCCACACCGACACCCCACACCCACATCTCACACTGACACCCCACACCCACACTCCACACCCACACCCACACCCACACGCACACCTATTCCATTTTTATTCTGGTTCGGACATTAGAGAAGTTTAATCATAAGTCAATCCATTATTCTTCTTGTTATAGTATTGTCTTTTTAAGGGCAGTATCTATTCCTTCATTTTATGATAGCCTTTCAGATGTCTTCGCCGTCTCAGCAGAGATATTCTCCGTTCCTGAGAGGGCAAGCCAATTTAATACTCGCAAAGTCCCTATGTTCGTAGGATCCTTATCGTCCATTGTGTCCGTCACACCTAAGGAGAGTGCCACATCAGTCCGGCATAGTACGCTCCACTTCTATCCTTCTAGGTACGCCAGGGATCACCCTATCCGGGCGCGAGAAAGAGCCGCGAAATGACAGATAGTGCGGTTAGCAATCAGACTGAATTTATTGAGCAACAAAAAAAAGAAAGCGAATTCACATCTTTTTTACATGGTTAATGTTACGTTTTATTGTCTTAATTTGTGGATGTGTTAGTGGAAGTGATTTTTGTGCTATAGCAAGTGCATTTTCCAGAAAAGAAAGTGCTTTCGAGTAGTTACCCATGTTGTCATGCACCATGCCAATGTTGTTGTAGGTAATAGCCAATGAAGGATGATTCGGAGGCAGAGCTTTTTCTTCGATTCTAAGTGCTTTTTCGTAAAATTGAAGTGCTTTCGAGTAGTTGCCCATGTTGCCATACACTCCACCAATGTTGTTGTACGAAATAGCCAATGATGGGTGATTCGAAGGCACCGCTTTTTCGAAGACTTTAAGCGTTTTTTCGTAAAACTCAAGTGCTTTCGAGTAGTTACCCATGTTTTTATATACTCCACCGATGTTGTTGTAGGAAGTACCCAAATCGGGATGATTCGGAGATAGAGCTTTTTCGAAAATTTTAAGTGATTTTTCGTAAAATTCAAGTGCTTGCGAGTAGTTACCCCTGTTTTGATACACCAAGCCGATGCTGTTGTAGGAATTAGCCAAATCGGGATGACTCGAAGGCAGAGCTTTTTCTCTTATTTTAAGTGCTTTTTCGCAAAATTCAAGTGCTTTCGAATAGTTACCCATGTTTTTATATACTCCACCAACGTTGTTGTAGGAAGTACCCAAATCAGGATGATTCGAAGGCAGAGCTTTTTCGAAAATTTCAAGTGCTTTTTCGTAAAATTCAAGTGTTTTCGAGGAGTTGCCCATGATTCCATAGAGTTCACCGATGTTGTTGTAGGAAATAGCCAAATCGGAATGATTCGAAGGTAGAGCTTTTTCTCTTATTTTAAGTGCTTTTTCGCAAAATTCAAGTGCTTTCAAGTAGTTACCTATATCTCTATAGAATACACTGATGTTGTTATAGGAAGTGGCTAAAGCGGGATGATTTGGAGGCAGAGCTTTTTCTTCGACTCTAAGTGCTTTTTCGTAAAACACAAGCGCTTCCGGGTAGTTACCCGTATTTCTATAGAGTTCACCGATGTTGTCGTACGAAGCCGCCATTAGAGGATGATTCGGAGGTAGAGTTTTTCCGAGGATTTTAAGCGCTTTTTCGCAAAATTCAAGTGTTTTCAAGTAGTTACCCATGTTGTAATACGCTGTACCAATGTTATTATAGAAAGTGGCCAAATCGGGATGATTCGGAGGCAGAACTTTTTCTTTGATTCTAAGTGCTTTTTCGTAAAACTGAAGTGCTTCCCAGTAGTTACCCATGCTGTTATACACCATACCGAGATTTGCGTGGGAAGTAGCCAATGAAGGATGATCCGGACGCAGAGCTTTTTGTTCTATTTTAAGCGCTTTTTCATAAAATTCAGATGCTTTCGAGTAGTTACCCATGCTGTAATACGCTGTACCAATGTTATTATAGGAAGTGGCCAAATCGGGATGATTTGGAGGCAGAACTTTTTCGTTGATTCTACGTGCTTTTTCGTGAAACTCCAACGCTTCCGGGTAGTTACCCGTATTTCTATAGAGTCCACCGATGTTGTCGTAGGAATCCGCTAGTAGAGGATGATTCGGCGGTAGAGCTTTTCCGAAGATTTTAAGCGCTTTTTCGCAAAATTCAAGTGCTTTCAAGTAGTTACCCATGTTTTCATATACCTTGCCGATGTTGTTGTAGGAAATAGCCAATGAAGAATGATTTGGAGACAGAGCTTTTTCTTGTATTTTAAGTACTTTTTCGTAAAACTCAAGTGCTTTCGAATAGTTGCCCGTCTTGTCATACACTGCGCCGATAATGTTATAGGAAGTAGCCAAATTGGGGTGATCTTCCGAAAGAGTTTTTTGCGTGATCTCGATCGATTTTTCGCAAAATGATGCGGCTTCTTTGTGTAGTCCTTGATGGTATTTCAGCACTGCAAGATTGTTGTAAATTGTAGCTCTAGTACCGTCGTCAGATATTAGTTCGAGTAGTGTGGTAAACAATTTTTCAGCCTTGCTGTGTTGTCCTATTTTGAATAGCAATGCAGCCAATCGTTCCCAGCATGTCCCATCTGAAGCTTCTTCTAGAATGCTTTCTGTGAGTCGACGCAGTTGCTGGTCTTCATCTGACGTCAGTTTAAGATCTACTTGATACAGTGAACTTTCATTGTCAAGTGTTCGAATTTCATCAATCCGAAAAATGGTGTGCATAGAGAAGAGAATTTCATTTTCTTCCGCGAAATTACTCAATCCTTGGATAGAGGCAAATGGAGTCGATAAGATGGTCGGATCTATAGACATTTGAAAAAGGATACCTACCATATCGGGTTTTCCTACGGCACCTCTGGCAAAACCGAGAGAGACAGCTGGATCTGTACTGGTGGATAAAAAATTATTGAAGGAAATAAGTCCACCTTTGTTCTTCTCGAGTTTGTCGAAGTCGACTGTCGATAATCCTTGTCCTCGAAAAACTTGAAAGGTCTTCCCATGATAAAGACTTTGCTGTTGTTTGTGTAAACTGTCGATTTGTCGGTGCAGATCAGCAAGAAAAAAACCCATTTTTATAATCGCCTCGCCATCCAGCGTTCGAAGAGACCAGTTGAGCATCTCGTAAAGGAAACACTCGCGAGTGTACCACCAAATTGCTGATTGCTGACTATATTGAAGTTCGAACTCAGTGATATCTTTCGTTTTAGCTATGTTATTGCTGTACTCGTTTCGCCAAAATTGAATAAAATCTTTCTTGGCTTGTTCGCCATGTTTCATATCAAGAAGAATTTCCTTGAATATTTAGGAGTACATGAACGAGGCTTCAAGCTGATTCAGATTTTTGCTGAAACCTTCTTCATTAACACTGATAATGCTTATGGACATGTCATCTTTATTGCATTGCTTGACAGTCATTTGCAATGCTTCGCAGATAAGTGGGATTTCTGTGTATACACCCTTAACTTTGTTCCAATGGCTGCTCCAATCTTCTTGTGTAGTTTGGCTACTGCAATCGATGTAAATGCTGTCAAGTTGAAAAATATCATGAATAAGGGGTACCAATTGTTGGCCCATAATACTCGGCACAATGAGAAATGCCTTTCGATCATCGACTTTAGTGAGAAAGTCAACACATTCATCGGGTTGTGTAAAGGTATAGACCTCACTGGTTACGCTTTGCAGTTGTTCGAGTATATTTTGGCAATCTTTATTTGCTGAATTAATGTTTTCATCGACCCAGAAGATCAAATAATTTTGAGTGATGTACCGACTTGCTTGCATGGCAATCAAGGGATCTGTTGTACTTGCATTGGTACCCATTGTTGATATAGAAATATTTTGTTTCGATATCTGTTCATTCATATTCACTGTGAATTGTCGTTTGTTGGTCAATCGAGAATGATGGATAAAATTGTTTGTCGTTTAAACAGCAGTCATTTTGTGAAACACGATCTGAAAGGAGTGTTGAAGTGTTTAGGGATAGAAATTTGGACCCACACCCCCTCCCTCCCACAGATCGGGACAGACCGTGACAGACAGGGTTCTGGACCCATCACAGACCGTGACAGAGGGAGTTCTGGACCCATCACAGACCGTGACAGAGCTTTGGACCCATCACAGATCGTGACAGACAGGGATCCGCATCCATCACAGACCGCGACAGACAGGGCTTTGGATCCATCACAGACCGTGACAGACAGGCTCTAGACTCATCACAGACCGTGACAGATGGGGTTCTGGATCCATCACAGACCGTGACAGACAGGGCTTTGAACCGATCATAGACTCTAACAGATGGGCTTCAGGAGCCATCATAGACTGTGATAGAAGACTTCAAGGAAGTATCAGAGATAATGCGTAACTAATATATGATTGGAGCATATATGTAGTATTATCCTGCTGAAGCTCTGTAATGTAAAGTAAGCCATGATGAAGAAATGTACGCCAATATGTATAGAGAACAAGAGTTTTTAGAACACTGGAAGCAGCCGCTACATCGTGTTTCACATTTTTAATCCCACAAGGTATTGCGCTAACAGCTTTTTTCTATTTATGCAACAGTCGTCTTCTGCTTTTTCTACGATATTAAATGTGAATGTTTATTTCTTGTTAACACTCAACGACAAACTCCATTGAGTTTCAAAAGAAAATACGATTACCAGCAAAAAAACAACGAAAGAGAAAAGAATCGAACAACGTCATTCGTTGCATTACTACTCTTTTCAACTTTTGTTTGATTTTCATCTATCCTATGACTTAAGTGGCATTACGTTCGATACCTTGTCTCACTCATCATGTTTTTTTAGAGTGACTTTTTTTTGTTCTTCTCTCAAGAACGAAAAAAGAAACAAAGACATCATTAGTTCGATTGCTTTCACTCTGCTCTTGATGAATATTCTGATGATGTGAACGAAGCAACGAGAAAAATACATTCAATTTTGAATGAACTAACAATTGAAAGACATTTCTACTTCCCAAATTAATTACCGTTGGTTAACATGTGCATCAAGTAAAGAAAGCCGTACATTCAAAGTGAGCCAAATGTCATTTTAGCGAGAAGAAAACCTTGAATATCTCTGTCACACTTTGACTAAATTGACTGATTTTGGCCCTGTCAATAAAGGAGTACTCATAGTTGATATTTCTACGAAAACTGCTGAAAAATAGGGTGTGGGTGTGGGGTGGGTGTGGGTGTGGGT